CCAGGCCCACTCCACCATCGTCAGCGAGGTGAGGACGCCGCCCGCCGCGCTCGGGGAAGGGCGGGGGGAGTGGCCCCGCGGGACGGCACGGTGCCCTGCTGCCCCCCGGCGCGGCGAGGGCGGGGAGGCTGGCACCTGTTGGTTGCCTCTGGGGCCCGGCCAGGTGCATCCCACTCTCGGAAGGGCCGCGTTCGAAATGCCCGGAAAACGCCTGTCGTCGATTTCCCTCTGCGAGTGAGTTGACGGAGAGGTGCATCTATCCGGGGATAGATGCTGAGTTCGGAGATTGCTTCTCACTCACCTCCTCGCGCATCGGAGCGTCCGGTACGACGTACGTTATGCCGGCGGGGATGCGTTTGTGCAAAAGTGGGAAATTATGGTCCGACTCGCGGTGGAGACCCGCGGCCTCTGGGGCGAGCGACTTGGTTGGGCAGGGCCCGGTTGCTCTGTGGTCTTCAGGGGGTAAAGGAAGGGCGAAACGTCAACTGGTTGCCCTACTGATTATCGGAAATGCACGGGGACAGGGGTCAGGGCTCTCCATGCGCATGATTTTGATAAAACTGCTCTGGGGCAAAGGGCAACATCTGAGATAAATTGGGAAAGCTGAGGTTTTGAATTAAGAGTTTCAACTTTCTTTTTTTTGTTTGTTTCCTGCGAATAACTTACAGGAAGGCAGTAAAAAGGGCTATAAGTCTCACAAAGCAGATTCCCCCCTTCCCAGGGGTGGCCCCTTGGGCCAGGTGGGGCAGCCCGCACATTTTCTTGGGTGTGTTTGGGCAGGCAGTGCATCGGGGGTTCGCTGGCCCCTCAGCCTCGGCTGCAGCACTGTTTCCACGCTGGGCTGGGATGGCAGTTTGCATCTTCATCTCTGTGCCTCAGCTGTGGGGACCGCCTCCACGGAGGCTGGGTCACGGGAATGAGCAGTTTCTTTGAACTTTGTGGGCAATCAGAGATCAATTTAATTTCTAAAAAAATGATTGAATGTGCTCTGGCAAATTAGGAAAGAAAAATTTTTGTCTTTACATTGGTTATTGTCATAAACTTTTTTAAGCACCTCCTTGAATAAGGGAGAAAACACTAGATTTGGAGTTAGCCGTGTCTAACGGTTAATGTTAACGTTCTGTCACTGTTAATGGTGACCTCATCTCTCTGGTCTTGGGATTCTAGATCTTTGAGGTCATGCATGTTCTATAGTGCCATGTGTGTATGGTCCTATGCTAATTGCTGTCGAGATAAAATCCATGGCAGCCCAGCCGGGCAATGTGTCTGTTCGTACTTTCATTTCTATTTAACCTGTGGGTAATGATGACGGCTGCTTCGTAAACTATGGTGGTCTTGCCCTTAGGGATTTCATAGATGAAATGGACAGGGTGTGGACTCCGGTGGGACAGGGCATTATCCCTAGTACTTCCTTCCAGCAGCAGCTGTTTGATGGCTGCTTGTATTCCATTTAGCACAGCTGCTTAGTGCTTACTTCCCAGGCAAATCAGATGATACCACTTGGAGAGAAGACACCTGATTTTTGAAGACATTTAGACCTCAAATGAAGAATAAAATGAGCCTTCAAAGCAAAATGCACACGCACTCTAATGGTGTTTCTGGGAGCAAACGTGATCGCTGGACATCAGAGAAGGGAGACATAGAAATCTGTGAGTGAGTGCCCAGATACTTGAGAAACAGTCTGGGGCTCTGGAGTTGTTTCAAGTGACCTGGGGTTATTTCAAGGAGGGACAGGTGGTCTTATGAAGGTCAGTGGCTCCCAAAAGGCAATGTGGGAAGTGGAAGGTCAGGAGACCTGGTATGGTACTGTCTGCAGCTAGCGGTGTGGCTTGGGTGAATCGCTTAACCTCTCTGGGCTTAGCTTTCTCATCTGTAAAATCAGAGGTTGGATTAAGCCCTTCACAGTCTTATAGATGCCATCAGTGTTATAGCTGGATGGCTGGTCAGGGTGCCCACAACAATGATAAAAAGATTTCAAGGAAAAGTAGAATGATATTCAGCATGCACTCCTGAAGGCCACCAACAAATCTTTGAAATATATTGGAGAGATTTTTTTTTTTTAATCCAGTTTAGAAGCAGTTTACTTCTTCTGGCTTTTTTGTTATGTTTTAATTCTTAAGAGGGACCCCCTCCTCCATCTATTCAGGAAGTCCAGCCATTCAGAGCAACTCATTCTCAGAGTTCTGCCTGGCTAATATTTTGCTGCCTTTGGTTTTGAAGATGATCCATTTAATTTTTGTTTTTTCATATTCTGTCAGGATTAAAGGAACTTTACTTCTATCTTCGGTTAACACTGTACCCAATGTGTTTTTACAGACTTAAAGTTGAAGATATTAATCGTGGAAAGGGGGTGAATTGCGAGAGTTTCGAAGGTGGAAGGGCAGACCCGATTCCAGAATGTCTCCATTTGGCTATTATACTTCCTCCGTGCACCAGTGAGGGGAGATATCGTTGTCCTAGCTTTGTAGAAGAGGTTCCTGAGTTAGGAGATGTGGAAGGACCTGCCAGAGTCCCAGACCTTTTAAGTGGCCCAGTTGGGTTGAATTCCAAGGGTCATGAGTATAAATCATTCTCCGTTCCTCTGTGTAGTGATCAAAGTCTTGGGGACAAGCCCACGCAACATAACCACTCACACTTTAGAGCAGGAAATCCTGTGGAACCTCAAAGTTTACTTCATTTTTCTGGCCAGCCTGCCATTGTATTTAATTTCACGGCATCAGGAACACAGTCAGCCATAATCAGCCAGGCCAGCAGATGGGAATGGCTCTCTCGTCTTGACGTGAACATTGTAGAATGAGCACTTGCGTCTCACCCACTGTCTGTCCATCTTACAAAGCGAAACAGCTCCAAGGAGTGAAGTCAGAGTCAATGCCAAGTGCAGGTCTGTTTCAATCCAGCCCCCTCACTCTTTCTTTTGCTCAAGGTGAGGCAGTAGATTTTTCACCGACACCTAACTTCCTCAGAGCAGACTTTCTAATGTCTGCATCTCAGCCTTGTCTGCTTTTCAGATGCTGGCCAGAATAAAGCATGATAGAGTGTAGAAAAGTCTGAGCCTCCACCACCCACATATTTCAATTCACTGCCTAGGGAGTGAGTCTTTGAAATGGATGTTAGGACTTCTATTTTTTTTTTTTAATTTTATTTATTTATTTATTTGACAGAGAGAGACACAGCGAGAGAGGGAACTCAAGCAGGGGGAGTGGGAGAGGGAGA